AGAATGAAGTACAAAATTTTGGAAAATTCAGTAAGTATGACAATTTTCAATTTTCAATTTTCTCTTGGCTATAATTTGATACAAGTCAGAGGTGCAGGTCATCTTCATGTAGTGGAAGATTCAAAAGGAAAGCTTTTGGTATTCACAATAAGGGACCACTGACATGTCTTCTTGATATATGAGATTTTGTGATGATACCACAACTCATCCTCTCCACTAAATATATTCTTTTCTTTCATAAGTAATTTTTATATGCAACATACCATAACGTACGGTTCGTTTGGTTAATTTTATCATTTTTGTATAAAACTTATCTTGGAATTAGCTAACACCTATAATCTAAAACTCTATCTCCAGATTATTATCTCTATCACTTATAACCTAACGACCCTAAGATAACAATGGTGTTCGAGTCAATTTATTTATTGAGCATTTATTAGATTATTAATCCACTACTTTTTACTAACACAGATTAGGGCTAACTCTGCAAAATATGTTGTAAATTTGTAAGCAGACACCTCTATCTCTATGTCAGAGCTCTTTCATCTTTCCCCTTATTCCCTCCACTTTCGCTTCTGTCCCTGAAATGAAGTATATATTCTAGGATTGAAGTTACAGCTTTACTGTGTAATTGAAGTACAATGGTCAAAATCATTATCGAAGTCACATAGACAGAATTCTTTTGTTCTACCTTCTCTTCAATTAATCACAGTCTAACCACACCCTAAAAAAAGANTGAGATAAAGAAAGACAAGACAAGAGGCTATTCCAAATTAGACAGAAGCAAAAGAGTTATTGGGCTGGACCCAGTTTTTATTCGGAAAAAGTAAAGCAAACCAGGGAGCTGCCCAGGGCCCATGACATTACTAGTTGCTCTGCTTATTTAATGGGCCTCCACTGAAACGTTGTACTCTGCGGTTCCATTGCTTGTACCTTTCAGTTTCCTTGCTGTTTTAATCTGTATCACATGCCAATCTCTTTTACTCCCTCCGCCTCAAAATTAAAAAGAAAAATGATATTGGATAGCCGCAGTAAAGATGATAACTGAAAAATTATATAAAATTTGTATATATATACATTTTGTATGTTATATACAAAAATTATACAAATTTTATATACTTTTTTAGCTACCAGATGAAAATAGTTTATGGCGCGGGCTAAAAGTGATAATATCCAAAATAAAAAACATACGACTTGAGTTTAATATGGGTTTTGAAATCATCATCTTTAATTTTTGAATTGAAATATAGATATACAGCATTGTGTTAACATAATAAGACACAAATCTTTTAAGTAAAAACGTTAATGTTTTCTTTGTGTAATCATACTTAAATTATATTTTGAGTATGATTGGAAGATATATAAAATTAGACAAATGTGTAGCAATTCAAGTAGGAACATTCAAGAAAAATATTGCGTTTTTATAAAAGAAAAGTAATATATGTAAAATATTGTATTTTTATGCTGGTTCAAGATAAATTGTAGCATTTTCAATGAAATTGAAAGAAAATAACGTAAAATGACTTTCAACACAAATAAAATAGGGAGGGAATAAGTATTTTCTCCGTTGGAAAATATAACAGTATAAATATTAATTATTTCAGCAACAATACTGCCTGCACAAGCTAATAGTTATTCCTGCTGACAAAACATTCAGTGAATAAGAAATCAAATTTGAAGTTGTACAAATTCACACGTAATTCAAGCAAAAGATTCTCTTCCTCTTTCTTACAGTTGATATGAAATTAAGAAATACTATGGTGAGTCAGAAACCTAAATGCCAACTTTTTGGACTCAAAACACATTTCTATGGTGTAAAGAAAGGTTACTTTTCTACCTAAAATACGGTATTATACTGCGTTTTACTTTAACGGAATTTTAGTCATTAAAGTAAAGCGCAGTATAATACCGTGTTTTACATTAACGCAATATTATACTGCGTTTTACTTTAACGGAATTTTAGTCATTAAAGTAAAGCGCAGTATAATACCGTGTTTTACATTAACGCAATATTATACTGCGTTTTACTTTAACGGAATTTTAGTCATTAAAGTAAAGCGCAGTATAATACCGTGTTTTACATTAACGCAATATTATACTGCGTTTTACTTATTAAAATAAAACGCTCATCTTCTTCTCCACGACAGAAACAGAAACAAACCCCCACCATTTTTATAGAATTTTTTTAAATTGGGCGGCTGTAGCTCGATTGGTCCCTGAGCACAGTGTTGTTAGAGCGGTGGCAACCGGAGACGCACACTTTCCACTTGCCCATTGGCGAGGCCACAATCACGCCTCAGGATGTTCAGGTTTTATATGGGTTGCTTGCTGATGGACTGGCCGTTGCACTGCCTCAATATATGAGATCTATGACGCATGCCTAGTATTTGGACTTGCTGTAGCATATCACTGGTTTCAGGCCACAGGGTAAGGCTGCAGCTTCAGGGGGCAGTCGCATTTATGTGATAGCTATTAGACAGCATTTGGTGGTATTGCACCCTGACATCGTCGGCGAGACAGATGTTCTACATATTCACCGGTACACGAGGTTGGCGTTGCTCCTTCTTTTGGGGGGTGTCTTGTTCCCGAACACTTCGGAAAATCTAGTGAGTATGCGATTTCTACATCATCTTCAGCAGCTAGATGAGTTACCCAGTACAGCTGGGGTTCTTCTGTTCTCGCTTACCTGTACAGGAGTATGTGTCGGGCTAGCATGAGCACCCAAAGTGACGTATGTGGTTTTCTGTCGCTTCTACATATGACAACATATTCGAATACTCTGTTCATTACTTCCAATTCTATATAGTCAAAATGTCTCTTAAATTTTATGTCGACCTTGTATGTTAAGTTTGGGCCTGGGAGCGGTTTCTATCGTTGCAGCCACCATTACCTCCGAATGTAGCACCTCTGTTTCTCCCTCTAGCTAGGAGGTTGGTTCTCCGGCGTGGAAATTACCAAACCATTGATGCTCATCATAATCTCCCCCTTGTCAGGGATGTGTTGCATATGCTGGAGGCCGCACAGGTAAATATGTACCTAAACTTACTTGTTATAAATTCACTTGTGTTGCGCATACTCACTTTTATGTTATTATTTGATAGTTCATCTGGACGCCATACAGCGACGACTTGATAGTTGTCCTGCCCGATTATTGCTCGGTCGGCCGACTAATTTGGAGCACTTCCGTCCCGTTGATGTGCCTCGATATTGTAGAGCATCATGCCATAGAGTGGGTACTTCGCCAGTTTGACCGTCCGTAGACTATATATTATCAGCGGGATGATCGTTCGAGGACGGACAACGCATTTGTAGCATGGCTAGAGGCGCAAGTCTATACTTGGGACTAGCGAGAGGACCTAATTCCGCCCCCACCTTCACAAATCCAGGCGCCGACAAAGATTTATACGTCCTGGTACCATCGCGTTACCCGACTGATGATCAGGAACCCGGTTCATCAAACTGGCAGTCGGTACAGACCGTACGCCGGGAGGCACGAGGCACTGGTATGTTTTTTTGGAACCCATACTTATAACTGTGATATAGCGTTCTGTAATTAATATTTTAAATATTATGCAGGCTATTGGTCATCATTTATTTTACCGGTTGGGACTGCAGATGCAGCAGCATGCCGACAATCCTGCAGTCACTGAGTATGGCCGACAAGATAGCACACAAAATGTAGTATTGTACCGCGCTATACATATTTAATTTTTCTAAATCGAAACAGCTTTTGCATAGTCGGTTTAGCTTTACAGAATAACAAGATAACACACAAAACGTAGTATTGTACCGTGTTATACATATTCAATTTTTCTGAAATGAAACAGCAACGTCTTGATTTATTCTTTATTATCTTTTATTTTCATGTATGTTGCTTTAGTTATGGTTGTTGTGCTTTTATCTCTTCGAATATTATGTTATGAAATTTCAATCTTCATATTTGTATTCTTTACTAACATCAATAAGTTGAATGTTGGAACTACCATATCATCATCCTAATTAAAAAGGTCATGTTAAAAAATAAGATGTAACAAAATTGTGGAACATAATTTTATTTGATAGATATTGCAACATACACAAGTACAAACACTTATTACAAAAAATATTACCAAAACAAAACACTAGGTGTATCCTTGATAGTTGGGTACATTCGACGAACTTGCACCAGGAGCTGGATTACCACCGCCACCCACACCAGCTGAAGGACATTTACGACAGTCGTGTCCTGTTTGCGAGCATATGCCACATTCACGTGCATAAACGATATCACCAACATCCATTTGGTTACGTATATGCGTTCTCTTTTGCACTTGCAGCTTGCGCAAATAGTCCTTGTTACACACCATTTTAAATGGTTCCAGCGGCCAATAATGCTCAACACCCAATGGCTACAACTGCCCACTATATCTGTCTACGTATACAACAACACTGTATTGTCTATCAACATAGTTGGTTGCCCCTAAACCAACTTGTTGAAAGCACTTCGTGGAATGTGCGCACGACATGTGCTATATGGTCAATTTCCCACATGAACACAACCTGCTAGCTTCATTTACCGTCTGTAGATTATTCCCTCAGTGTCCACGGATAGCGGTGCGAACTTCAAAAATACCTCAGTTGTGATCGTACTGTAAATATGAATGCCAATGTGCTCGCCTTCTGTACTTCTCAAATCTTCTCATCGGTATTAGCATAAATTGAACACCCCTGTCCATCAATCCCGAAGCAGCTTTATGCGTTTTAATAAACCTCTCCGCAATCTGTTTGAATGTCATCCGTACCATGGTAGTGACAATCAATCCACGTGCAGACTTCAATAAGCCGTTGAATGACTCTGACACATTTGTAGTCAGGGCTCCCCATCGTCTGCCACCATCAACATGCAATGTCCACATGTGAAGCTCATGTCCCATCCGTCAAGTATAGGCTCGTGGATCTAACTGTTGGATCGCTTCCATGCGCCTCGTGAATTTGCACTGCTGGTGCTTAGTTGCAGCCATCTACATTAAATCATGTAAGGCCTTGTCGTGATATTTCTTCTGGAAATTGGCCTTCAGGTTCCTCATACAGTAACAGTCGTATGCATAGGGTTCCTGTCATTCAGGCAAATGCCGTACAGAACTTAAAATACCACCATGCCGATCAGATATTAGACAAATACCTAAATGTTGTTTGACAACGTGCTGCTTCAAGTGATTCAAAAAAAAACCGTCCACGCCTCTTCGATTTCATTAGCACAAATGGAAAAAGCTAGTGGAAATATTTGTCCGTTGGCATCTGCTGCAACTGCGATCAAAAGCTTAGTGTCATACTTTCCATAGACATGAGTACCATCTATGGAAATTACCGGACGGCAATGCACAAAACCATCAATTGCTGGTTTAAATGACCAGAACACATTGTTGAAAATATATTCCAATTTGTAGCATGGCCAGAGGCGCAGGTCCATACTTGCTAATTCCGCCACCACCTTCACAGATCCAGTCACCGACTATTGAGATTTATACGTTTTGGTACTGCCGGGTTTCCCGACAGATGATCGGGAATCCCGTTCATCAAGCTGGCGGTCGGTACAGACCATATGCCGGGAGGCACGAGCCACTGGTATGTTTTTTTTGGAAACTAAACTTATAACTGTGATATAGCGTTCTATAATTAATATTTTAAATGTTGTGCAGACTATTGGTCATCATTTATTCTACCGGCTGGGACTGCAGATGCAGCAGCATGCTGACAATCCTGCAGTCACTGAGTATGGCTGACAAGACAATACACAAAATGTAGTATTGTACTGCGCTATACAAATTCAATTTTTCTAAAATGAAACAGCTTTTGTGCAGTCGGTTCAGCTTTACAGAACGACAAGATAACACACAAAACATAGTATTGTACCGCATTATACATATTCAATTTTACTGAAACGAAACAGCAATATCTTGATTTATCCTTTATTATCTTTTATTTTCATGTATGTTGCTTTAGTTATGGTTGTTGTGCTTTTATCTTTTCGAATATTAAGTTATGAAATTTCAATCTTCATATTTATCTTCTTTACTAACACCAATAAGTTGAATGTTGGAACTACTATATCATCATCCCAATTCAAAAGGTCATGTTAAAAAATAAGATGTAACAAGATTGTGAAACATAATTTTGTTTGATAGATATTGCAACACACACAAATACAGACACTTATTACAAAAAATATTACGAAAACAAAACACTAGGTGTATCCTTGATAGTTGGGTACATTCAACGAACTTGTACCAGGAGCTGGATTACCACCGCCACCCACACCAGCTGAAGGACATTTACGACGGTCATGTCCTATTTGCGAGCATATGCCACATTTACGAGCATAAACGATATCACCAACATCCATTTGGTTCTGTATACGCGTTCTCTTTTGCACTTGCAGCTTGTGCAAATAGTCCTTGTTACACACCCTTTTAAATAGTTCTGGCGGCTAATAATGCTCAGCACCCAATGGCTGCAACTGCCCACTATATGTGTCTACGTATGCAGCAACACTGTATTGTCTATCAACATAGTTGGTTGCCCCTAAACCAACTTGTTGAAAGCACTTCATGGCATGTGCGCACGGCATGTGGTAGATGGTCCATTTCCCACATGAACACAACCTGATGGCTTCATTCACCTATCAAAAATACCCCGGTCGTGATCGTATTGTAAATATGAATGCCAATATGCTCGCCTCTTGTACTTCTCAAATCTTCTCACCGGTATTGGCACAAATTGAACACCCCTATCCATCAATTCCGATGTAGCTCTATGCCTTTCAACAAACCTCTCCGCAATCTATTTGAATGTCATCCGGACCATGGCAGTGACAGACAATCCACGTGCAGACTTCAATAAGCCGTTAAATGACTCCGATACATTTTTAGTTAGGGCTCTCCATCATCTGCCACCATCAACATGCAATGTCCATATGTGAAGCTCATGTCCCATCATCCAAGTATAGGCTCGTGGATCTAATTGCCGGATCACTTCCATGTGCCTCGTGAATTTGCACTATTGATGCTCAGTTGCAGCCATCCACATTAAATCATGCAAGGCCTTGTCGTGATATTTCTTCTAGAAATTGGCCTTCAGGTGCCTCACACAGTAACAGTGGTATGTATAGGGTTCCTGCCATTCAGGAAAATGTCGTACAGAACTTAAAATACCATAATGCCGACCAGATATTAGACAAATACCTGAACTGTTTGACAACGTGCTGCTTCAAGTAGTTCATAAAAAGCGTCCACGTCTCTTCACTTTTATTGGCATAAATGGCAAAAGCTAGTGGAAATATTTGTCCGTTAGCATCTACTGCAACTGCGATCAAAAGCTTAATATCATACTTTCCATAGACATGAGTATCGTCAATGGAAATTACCGGACATCAATGCACAAAACCATCAATTTGCTGGTTTAAATGACCAGAATACATAGTTGAAAATATATTTTGATCTTTCCGAACTTCGCTCACGCCTCCATTCAACAACAATCCTAAGGTTAAAGTGCTTCAATATGGCCATGTACCTAGGTAGAGATGAAAATGACTTATCCCAGTCTCCATAAATAATTTTAAAAGCACGTTTGCGCCCGAGATATGCCTTTCTTTTGGTTATAGTACACTCATACTCCTGGTGGACGACTGTAATACACAATTTGATCTTTAACCTAATGGACACTTCCAAGTATGGAATCAATACAAGAGAAATGAAGTCTACATCCAAGCTGAAGTGATTCTCATTGAATGTGTTCATTTCACATGTGTGGATGCTAATATATTTACCCACTTTTCATAACCCTGAATTCTTCTTGCTGGCACGCAACATCCAGTGACAACCCATAAAGTCTCTATGGCATACAACCTTTTATACCTCCGTAGTTGACTCCCTTACCATCATTTCACGGCACTCTCTTATGCTGTAGATTTTTACAACCCTAATTATGCGAGCTTTATCGGGAAAATACATGCCCTTTGCCAGCACCGCTGGTCTAGACTCATTCCACATTGCTGACCGAAATTCATCAGCATCCCTTGTAAGGGCATCCACATCCGGCATACTTGGCAAATTATTAAAGTAGGGAATATTCCACTCATGAAACAACACGTGGGACTCGTACACTCTTGGTCTAACGGGAGGTGGAGGAGCATGCTCCCTCGTCAACTCAGGTTCGACATTCACTTCCTCCTCCTCATCACCCTCATTAGGGAAGGGTGTGTCATCTCCAGACTCATCAGCATTGTTGTCATAATCACTATTATCTTCCTGACTCTGCGCATCTGCCAAATCACGAGTGAATACGTCGTCTACGGGAAACTGTGTGAAGTCAGGAACATCAAGTTGCTCGTTTTCAATGAACAAAAAGAATAAAATGATAAGCTACTCAAATTGATAAATACTTTACATATAGCTATATCACTTCACTTACAAGTCGTACTGTGTTGACGTTCCATGATAGACAATTTCTTGTTGGTGATGACTCCCGGATGGACCACCGTAGTACAACACGCCAGAACTACGCATATTTCAACTAGGAGCGGGGTCATAACTTGTAAAATTCATATCCGGACGATACCCCCTATGAAAAATATGAGTGTTAATACAAATCCAATTCAAACATAAAATAAACATCGCTAAAGCGTAGAAAATTGAAGTTTATCAGTCGTCTTGTGGATTATATAAAGTCGAAAAATTATTTCCTCGTTGCTCATTTGCCGGTGGTGTTAATTTTAAATCAAGGCAAGCTCTTTCATCAAGAATCTGTCCGGCAAAAACTGCTCCTGAATAACCACCCGATGACTAGGGGTTATCCTTACTATGCACAACCTCATTATTGGAAACGTCTTCAACCTTGACGAATATTTCCAACAATTTTATTATAATAAATTCCATATACTCATCCGGAATCCGCAAAAAATCTCTAAGGATTTCATCATCTTCGATGTTAAACTCAAAATGATAAGCAAACCCCTGAGGAGTCACAGAATACAGAAATATACTTGTTACTTTAAGGTTTACCGAATGTTTCCTCACACTCATTTTTTACGTAACAACGATACCAATTTATCGTATTCCATTATAAGCGGCAATTTAACATGACACTATGGAGGTGAACTATACCTCACAGAGTTATTCTCCATTACAACCTCACCCTCGCCCCNTATTTTTGGCTCTTCAAACATTATAAAAAAATGCTCGATAACAAGAAGAGAAGTATGAACGGAAGTTTGAAGAAAAGTTTTGAATGGATTTTCATAAAATCTTAACGCCTTTAAATAAGACAAGTCCTAACTTGGGGTGCAGAGTTTTTTTATGTAAAACACAGTATAATACCGCGTCTTTTAGTATAAATATAATGTTTAATCAAAAGTGACCAGGTTCAGCATGCTATAGGCTAGCTCCGCTTCCGGATGATTAGACTATCTACGTAAAACTAAAAACATGAATAGTTGACATATATATAACTGGGAGCATTTTTGTACCAAAGATTCGGCATTACAATTGTTATGCTTTGAGCTGTTTCGTTGACAACCATAGCTTTATATTTCTCTGTATGCTTCAAAGATTGAGAAAAAGCTTGTTGGAGTTTGTCACGACCCTAAACCCAACCCAGTCGTGATGTCGCCTCTCGTGAAGACAAGGCCAACTAACTCACTTTCAATTCACTTTAAGCAATTAAAATAATAACTACTAAGTCTTTAATCAGAAATAAAATCCTAAAATAAGCATTTAGCAGTATAATTTACGGAAATAAAAGTCAACACAGTCCGACATCAGGGTGTCACCAGTCATAAGCATCTAAAGTAATACTACCAGTCTAAAAGTCTTCTCCACTACTAAATAACTGAATCAGAAAAAGAAATAATATAGAGGGAGGTTGCACTGGGCTGCGAATCGCCAAGCAACTACCTAGTAAACCTCCGAAGATCTGCTGGGACTGTCAACCCTCAGTAGCAGGACCTGTAGCGCCTGAATCTGCACACAGAGGTGCAGAGAGTAAAGTGAGTACTTCCAACTCAGTGAGTAATAAGAATAAATGAAGACTGAACGATATAAAATCACGTTAAAACAACATTTAGCTATCAGAGGCATAACAAAATCAGTAATACAATTTAACGATGAAATCTCATAAAAACACATTTTTAAGCAGTCAACAATAGATAGAAAAAACAACTAGGAATGGTAAACACATAAGAACTGCCCCTCAGGCACAATAACATCAAATCATCCCCTCGGGCAATATCACAAAACAATACCAGCCCCTCGGGCTATATCTCATGTCACAATGGGTACCCGCTCTCACTAGGGGTGTGCAGACTCCTGGAGGGCCCCTTACGGCCCAAGCGCAATATCAAGCCATCTTGCGGTATCATAAACAGACTCTCTGCCTAATATCAATATCAAGCCACCTCGTGGCGTACAACCTCAG